ACCACACATAGATTTGGCAGATGATATTCCTACATGCATATTTCTATGTATTACAAAAATATCCATATCCATATTACTGAGCTAACAAGGGACAAGCTTAAGATAACTTCTTATCCACAATCAAACACATTGAGGTAAGGAGTTGCTGGGCCTTGAGCTTGGGGACATGGTTAAAGGAGACATCAAGCTCAATTGGCATGTCATACTACACAAAAATATTATTCTACATCCTACCTTGCTGAGTAGCAACTGGGGTCTTAAAAGCTTGTGAATAGTTGTGGTGGTTATGTTAGTGTGTCAACTTGGCTAGTATTCCCCATGACGAGACTGATAATAAACTCCATGTTGGAATCTACCGAGAGCAGCTGAGTAGCTGCTTTTGGATGTGTGGTCTGCTTCCTGTATATGAGAAACAGCTTTGGGAATGGTCTCTATCTTATGGCATGCTTAGACCCTGTGTGTAGCTGTGTCATTATTCAGCAGCCTGTCATGCTCTGTCAACCTTGGGACTTACAATGTACTTGAATTAAAGGCCTGTCATGTGGTTTGGTAACATTGGTACTGTGCTGTTTTATTTGTCGGCCTTGGGCTTGTTAGCCTCAGCAGCCAGTAGCAGCCTGAGTGAAGAGATGCCTCTAGCTTCAGTGGGCTAGGAGCAAGAGTCAGAACTGAAACTCAAGGTCAAGGGATGGTCACACAGCCCCTAGAGCCTGGCACTTTGAACTTGGACTTAAAGCCTCCAAATTGTGAGAGAATAAATTCCTGTCTGTTAAGCCATCCCATTTGTGGTATATTCTTGTCAGAGTGGCATAAGGTAACCAGAAAAATGGCCTTCTAAGATGCTACTATTGTTCTCTCCTCATCCAGAGAAAAGAAGAGTAAAGAAAATCAGACATATGGAAACAATTAGTCCAAGGGACTAATGGACTACAGGAACCTCAGCCTGCATGATCCTGAACCCAGAAGAATTAGATGCTGTCCTGCGACTAGTGCCATTCACTAAGAAAGGAATCACAATTGAAGATCCTGTATTGAGAGGAAGAAAAAAATAAATGTCAAGCAAAATTTAAAATGATAGAAAAAAATTACTTGAAGAAAAATCAATCACATGGAAATTATATTTGAAATACAATTTAGAAATGAATAATGGTGATATCTACAAAATATAATGAACTCAATTAATGCCACTAAATTGTACATTTAAAGAATATTGAAGGTGCAAATGATTTGTTACATACATATTCATCACAATAAAATAAAATAATATTTGACAAGTAGAGTTCATTGAATTGGTCAATTTATAAACTAAGGAGAGGCAGTGGTGAGAAGTGAGACAAATAGTTGAAGATGAAGATTTTCTTTGACATGACTTATTGTAGCTGGAAGTTGTGTATATATTTTGTTAAAAGCAAAGGAATGCCCACTGTAACTTGAACTATCTTCTCACTCCATCCCAAACTGTCCTTTCCTCAGACCCCTCAGATCTTTTGAAAAATAACTAAACCCTCAAAATTCTACAGCCAATTTTCCAAAGCCCATGAGTGACCCACAGCTGGCATGTGGATGACTTTAAGTTCAAGCAAAGCATACTCAAATCCAAAGATGATGATAAAGCCCTGTATCTTTATGTTCAAATTTCCATCAGTAGAGGTGAGTCCTTGACTTTTAACATGCTTGGCAGGCAACTGAAAAGTTTTAGGTTGTAGCACACTCAGAGACACCTTGGAAGAAAGGCCTGGTATTATTCTTCTAAAATATCAGCCATTGAAAACCCTGTGGAGGACATTTCTACTTGACATGCATGGTTGTCAGGAGTCAGAATTGACTTATTAACAAAGGTTTTCTTTTTCTTTTTCTTCTTCTATTTCATCAGTAGAGGCAAACTTAGAAAATATTTATCCCTCCTGCAAAAAGGGCAAGGAGGCCACATGTTCTGACCTCCTCTAATCCCACAAGAGAAAGGCAGGATTACCAGCAGTAACCCAAGGCCTATTACTGCAAGGCCAGACATGCTGCCTCCCTCCAGCCCTTTCTCCAACCGTTCCTCCCAAAGCACCCACCACCTTTCTCCTGGGTTCAATAATTCACTGCAGTGGCCACACAGAACTCATGGATTATGGGGTTCATTAGGGAAGCACCACAGGCTACAATTCAAGTTCAGGAAAAATGCTCAGTCTCTCTCCCAGCCCACCGTCCCTCAGCCAACAGTCTCTCACAGTCTCTCTCCCAGCAGTGCTGGTCCCTCGGTGTCTCACTCAGCAATGCAGGTCTCTTGTGTCTCTTTCCCAGCAATGTGTGTCTCAGGAGCCCGTGTTTCTTTCAGAAGCACATCTTCCTCAACCAGCAGTCAGAGAGAGCTCTGCCTCTAGGAGGCCTCCTTTTGAGCCCAGCAGGGTGGTCAAACTAGCCAATCATAGCATCAGAATTCTAAGCATGTGAGAGACAGTGGGCACCTCCCAGAACATTGTTTTGTGCCACTCCCAACAGAAATACTCCAGGTGGACAACTTTAGCAAGCAGGAGCTCCTCAGTTGCCCATAGAAAATCCCACCTTGGAGTTTACAAAGACTTATGGGTAGAAAAGCCACACTAAGTAATTTACTACACCACACCTCCTGAGAAGAAACATCTACCCAAGACCTTCTGTAAAGCCCCTGTGACAACTTTGTTCCTGAGGCTGTAGATAAGTGGGTTGAGCATGGGAGTGAGGATGGTATAGAAAGCAGACACAGCCTTGTCCTGCTCAGGGGTATGGTAAGAATGAGGCAACACATATGTGTACATGGCTGCTCCATAGAAGAGGCTGACCACCACCATGTGTGAGGAGCAGGTAGCCATGGCCTTCTGCCTCCCCTCTGCTTCACTCATCCTATAAACAGTGATGAGGATCCTGCACTAAGAGGCAGAGATGACAGAGAATGGGATTAGGAGCATCATGATGCAGCAGACATACATGGCTGTCTCATAAGCTGATGTGTAAGTACAGGAGAGCTTCAGAAGGGCAGGCACCTCACAAAAGAAGTGGTTAATTTCCCGAGATGCACAGAAGGGGAACTGCATTGTGACTGGGGTGAGCAGGAATCCATCCAAGGACCCTCCCAGCCATGCTGCCACCACAATCAATAAGCAGACCTTCTGGCTCATGAGGACAGGGTAATTCAGAGGTTTGCATATGACCACATAGCAGTCATAGACATGAGTCCTAGAAGAAAAAGCTCAGCCCCTGCCAAAGTTAAGTAGAGGAAGTGTTGGGACGTACACCCTACAAAGGAAATTGTCCTCTGGCCCACCACTGGGTCGACTAGCATTTGGGGAACAATGGTGGAGATGTATAGGATGTCCATAAGAGAGAGTTGACTGAGAAGGAAGTACATGGGGGTGTGGAGGCGGGAGTCCACATGGATGAGAATGATCATGAGGCTGTTGCTGGCTATAGAGATCACAAAGACAAGGAGGATGAGAGCGAAGAGGAGCCAGGGAAAGTGAGTGTTGCTGAACAAACCCAGGAGGACAACGTCTGCATACATGGAATAATTCCCTCGTTCCATAGCTTGATAGGCTGCACAAAAGAGAGATAAGTATAATAAGAAAAATGTAGCACAAAACAAAACTATCTAGCTTGCTTAAGGCATTATAATATGCACTTGCTTTCTCCAAATCATCATTGGAGAAAGTAATTAAATTGCAGTGTGAAATTCACTCTTTTTTTTAAAAAAATAATTCCTGAAGTTGATTAGAACTAATGGGTTGTTTAGAGAGATTGTCCTAAGCACCATTCTCATTCATGAAGCTCAAAACTTTGAATTTCCTTGAAGAATAGACTGAACATGATTCCATTTTGGAACACCATGTCATCATTCATTCAATGACAAGATGCTTTACTTGCTAACCACTACTTCTTAATTTATATGTCATCATGTGATTATGTTTTTTGGCTCATTGGCATTTAAATATTTTTAGCATAGAACTCTTTGTTCAAGCACAAACTTACACAAAGGAAGATATACATAATAAAGATAAAAATGCAGTCAGCCCTATTGAATTGTGATAGAGTAATGGGAGGGATGCCCTATGCTTTCCCCCTCTCACAAAGCTCTGTTTCTCACAGTTGAACTGCAGCTTGAAAACCAAAGGTCCAGAGCATATATTTTGCCTGAGGAAGTAGAACTACATTGACTAATTTTCCCTAATTTACACCATTCTCTACATATTTGTACATTGTAGTATTTGAGTGCTTAGCTTATGTTTAATAGGTATGAGATAGTGGAAAATAAGAATTCTGTGTTGAAGATAAAGCAACTGATGTCTCTTAGCTCTTAGGAGCAATTAAAAAATTAATAGAAGAAAGGCAATCAAGGGAAAAATAATGTTTAGGGTCAAATGGTATTGATTTTCCTTCTTTTATCAGGAGACTACTGACTAAAAATGTTCAACTCATTAACATGTATAAGTGAAACAGGAGCAATGATGAATTCATGGGTTTTAATAGAAAAAAGGAGTGGGGAAATAAACCATTTAAATCATACTAGAGGACATTCTTTCCAATAGAATGGGTTTTCTGCTTAAACATGCTAAAATCATGTTATGCATGTATAACTTTCACAGTTATATAATAATTTACCACACTTGTGATAAGAAAATCATTTGAACAAGCCATGTCTCTTAGGATTTCATAGATCTACACTGTTCAATTTGACAACTAAGAGCAACATGTGGTTATTGACCACCTAGAACAAGAGTGGACAGAATTGAAATGTGTTGTAAGTGTAAATTACACCTCAGAAATCAAATAATTAGTATGCAAAATATTATATAATATATCCCATTAAAATTTTCATATTGATTACATGATGAAATGAGAATATTTTCAATATATTTGGTCAAATAAAACAGATTACTAAAGTTAATCTCACCTCCACCTTTTTACTTTTTAATGAGGCTACTAGAAAGTTTATCTCTGTGGCTCTCATCAGTTTTCTACTTGATGGCATTTTTTTTACTTTTTTAATGCATTTTATTGAAATATAATTTATGTACAGTGAACTACACAAAACTAAAGTGACATGGGTCAATGCATTTCTCTCTCTCTCTTTTTTCTTTTTTTTGCAGTTTTCCCTCCCCTCCCCTTCCACCCCTGGCAACCAACAAAGAAAGTTTCCCTCCATATATAAACCTTTCCTTGATCCTCCACAATAACAAACCAATACTATATTTGTCCCTCTTTGATTGATCTATTTCACTCAGCATAATGTCCTCCAAGTTCATCCATATTATTCAGTGTTTTTCAGACTTTACACTGTTCTTTAGTGCTGCATAGCATACCAGTATGTGTATGTACCATAGTTTTGGCATGCACCCTTCTGCTGATGGGCATGCAGGTTGTTTCCATCTTCCTGCCATTGTAAACAGTGCTGTGATGAACATGAGTGTGAATGTATCTGTTCCTGTCCTGGCTCTCACCTCTCTAGGATACATACCCAGTAATGGGATTTCTGGGTCAAATGGCATCTCCAACTCAACACTCTAAGGAATTGCCATATTGCTCTCCACAGTGGTTGTGTCACTTCACAGTCACAGCAGCAGTGTATGAGATTCCCAAACTCTCCACATCCCCACCACCACTTGTCATTTTCTGTCTCACTGAATAAGCCTGGTGATTCAAACCTACCAGCCGCTCCTCAGAAGGAAGATGGGGCAATCTACTTCTGTAGTGATACTACCTTGGAAACCCAAGGAGGGGTCACTATGAGTCGGGTCCAATTCAACGGCACATAACAACAACAACAGCTATGAACCTTGAATGATGGCACTTTTTTAAAGACATCTATTTCCCAGAATAGAATGGTTCCAAATACCTCAGTTCAACCAATTTCAGTCAAATGAAATTGTCACAACACCCCAAGTGGAAAAATACTGAGGGCACTCTTTAGGTGCAATACAAAATAAAGAAAGCATAATGATGTTAGCAATCCTTGGATGGTGGAAAGATTAAAACCCTTAGCTGCTAAACAAAAATTTGAAGATTCAAGTCTACCCAGTTACCTTGGAAGAAAGGCATAATAATTTATTTGCAAATCATCAATCCTGAAACCTCTATAGGACACAGTTCTACTCTGACATACATGTGGTTGACTTTATGGCAACTGGTACTGGTAACAGAAATTATGTTACCTGTATGTACATTTACCTGCAAATAGTGGTGAGAAAATACTGATAGAATATGGAGTTCTTCCCAAATATTATTTCATTTATTTTCCCCAACAACATAATGAAATATTGACAATTTCTCTGTCCATGCTACTGATGAAAAAAAAAAAAAAAACAGAAAAGAGATTCAAAGAAATTACGAAACTTCCCCAGGGGCACTTTGTTCTTGTTAGCCAGTGACAATGTTTTATGCTATTTTCCTATAAGCCTAAGTAGACAGGAATTCATCCATTCCAAAAATATTACCCAAGGCATGTTGTGTGAGTCAAACTTTTAAGCTCTGAAAGGATTTAAAGGAATGTAGAAAACATGACCCCTGCCTTCAAGGAGCCTAAAAGTGGACAAGCATGAGCCCAGAAGTTGTATATATCCACAGGAGTGCTTTAAGAATGATTTTGACTAAGATGCCTGGGGTTTTCACTTCTCCTCAGCTAATGAATAGAGAACATGAAAAGGGCAGAATATTGTAAGAAGAGGAAGATGGAAACTATAGAAGCTAAAACCCAGTGGAATTTACATAAGAAATTCACATCAAGTCTCTTCTATATATTTCATCAAAGCTATGTCATCATGGATGGATTTATCACTATGTCAAATAAATTCTTGGGAAGGCTTTTACTGATTCCAAACCAAACTCACTGCCGTGGAGTTGGATCCGACTCATAGCGACCCCTCCTTGGGTTTCCGAAGTGATGTCACTATGGAAGTAGATTACCCAACCTTCCTTCCCAGGAGTGGCTGGTGGATTTACTGATCAGACCACCAGCCTTCTGGTTTTACTGATTAGACACTTTCTTTGTAGATACTTCAGGTTTCTCATTCATTAAATATTATTAGCTTTATATCAATGCTTTTCACCAGGTGTTTTTCTCTGATATTTGCCTTTGTTCTATTTCTGTCTTTGTTTCCCCAACTGTGTCAAATCATTGTGGAAATTAAAAGCAGGCATTCAGCAACAATCCACATTGTGGGGACAAATGGAAGTGCCTATAACATTAGCCCTAAGATAATAAGAATAAATTCCTCTGAGGGCTTCACTCAATATGAATTCTTCGACAACTTCAATCTTTTCCCATTTATTGTGATGCTGCTTATTGGTCCAGTTGTGAGGATTTTGGTTTTCTTTATATTGAGGTATAGTCCATACTGCAGACTGTATTCTTGAATCCTCATCAGTAAGTGCTTCACGTCATCCTCACTTTCAGCAAGTAAAGTTGTGTCATCAGTATATTGCAGGTTGTCAATGATTCTTCCTCCAATCCTGATTTCATGGTCTTCTTCTATAGTCAAGCTTCTTGGTTTATTTGTGCAGTGTACAGATTGAATAAGTATGGTGTAAGGATACAAGCCTGATGCACTCCCTTCTTGATTTTAAACCATTCAGTGTTCCCTTGTTCTGTTTGAATGACAGCCTCCTGGTTTACGTACAGGTTTCTGATAAGGACAGTCAAGTGTTCTGGAATTCCCATTCTTCTCAGTGTTATCCATAATTTGTTTTGATCCACATAGTCAAATGTTTTTGCATAGTCATTAGAGCACAAGTAAACATCTTTCTGGTATTCTTTGCTTTCAGCCAAGAACCATCTGACATCCACAATGATATCCCTGATTCCACGCCCTCTTCTGAATCCAGCTTGCATTTCTGGAAGTTCTATGTCAATATACTGCTGCAACTGTTTTAGAATTATCTTCAGTAAGATTTTACTTACGTGTGATATTAAGGATATTGTTCTGCAATTTCCACATTCTGGGGATCACCTTTTTTTTGGAACAGATACAAATATGGACCTTTTCCTGTCATTTGGCCAGGTATCTGTCTTCCAAATCTCCTGAAGCACTTACTGATGAAAATTAAAGACTATAGTCTCCAGTATGGAGTATACCTCATCATAAAGAAAACAGAAATCCTTACAACTGGACCAGTAAGCAGTATCAAAATAAATGGAGAAATAATTGTTGTTGTCAAACATTCCCTATTACTTGGTTCCACCATCAACACCAATGGAAACAGCAGTTGAGAAATCAGATGATGTATCACACTGGGCAAATCTGCTGCAAAAGACCTCTTCAGAGTGTTGAAGAGCAAAGATTTCTCTTTGAAGACTTAGGTACACCTAACCGAAGCCATGGTGTTTTCAATAGCCTCATATGCACGTGAAAGCTGGAAAATTAATAAGGGACACAAAAGGAGAGCTGGTGTGTAGTGCCCAAGGCATCTAACTGCTAACCAGAAGATTAGTGGTTCAAACCCACCAGCCACTCAGCAGAAGCAAGACCGGGCAATCTACTTCCATAAAGATTTACTACCCTGGAAACCCAGTGGGGGTCGCTATGAGTTGGA